CAAAAATCAGATATATATATATATATATATATATATATATATTAAAAACTAAATTTTGATAATATTGAGTAAATTATTTTTTATCATACAAGCTAAAAAAAAAGAACTCATAACAATATATTTAAAAATAGATTTGTTGATTTTTTTTAAAAAAAAATATTTATTGACCTAATTAACGTCATTGATATAAAATAGGCTTTTAAATAATGTTCAGGATAATGCACTCACATCCGAAAGGATAAAAGCGGCCTAAAAGTGGAAATAACCTTTTTAAATTTGAAAGAAGATTTAATGTTTCCCTTTCTAACACACGTCACAAAGAGTATGAGTTTTTCAAGAGATCATGAGCAATCCACTTACTAAACATTTTTTTGCGATTTTTTGAAATATGTTTCATATGAACATGCCAAAGTTTTTTATGATAAATAAAAACTAAATTAGATAAAAAGTTAAAAAAATATATAAAATTCTTCTAGTTATAGAAAAGTCTTTAAAAAATGTTATGGTATAAGAAAGACATTTGTGTTTTATATATATATAGAAGTTAATTATTCTTTGATTAGTTACTAATTTTAATTTAATATATATTTATACAAATTTTGAATATGATTTATTGATTTAAATATAATATTTATTTATATATAAGTTATTATAAATTGTAATTATATATAATAAAAATGTAACTTGTGAAATACATAGACTAAAATACTAGTATTTATTAATTTTACATAAAAAATATAGTATAATATTATATTGTAACTTGTGAAATACACTAGAATGAGAAAGATCTAGAGATTGTATAAGTATGAGATTGTATAGTCCAAGATGACTTAAAGGAATTCATTTGTATTACCTATACCAATAAGATGTATCTATTTTTTGCTAGTTTATTCCATAAGAACTTCACAGTTAAGCGTGCTTGATCTAAAGTAATTTTAAGATGGGTGACCTTCTAGAAAGTTTTCTAGAAAATGTGCAAGTAAAAACAAAGCACGTTGAAAAGTCTTCTGTTGAAGACAGGGTGTTGCACTAAACAAGGGTATTATTTAATACAATTTCAAAATGATTTTTTAAAAATTTTATAAACAATACCCACAAATGTATTCGTGAGTAATTACCCATGGATGTATCTGTGGGTAATTACCGACAGATGTATCTATGGGTAATTATCCGCAAGTAACTACCCACAGATATATCCATTTGTAATTACCCACGGATGTATCCGTTAGTAAAGTCATCGAAAAGTTACCCACGACTGAAAATTTGTCGGTAAATGTTTCATACGAGAAATTTATTGACGAATTATTGCCTGTGTGTAATTTGTCGGAAACAAAGTGTTTCCCACGGATTTTTTGGGTTATTATCTACAGATTTTGGTCGTCTATAATTCTAAAATTTCTTGTAGTGTCATCTTCTGTAGACACTAAACAGGTTACATGTTGTTTGCTCAAATTAGTCAAATCAATCTCATAAAGATTATTTTTTCTTTGAGATACAAAAAGCACAGACCCATCGTCTTACTTGACTATGCATGCATCTTTATCGAAGATCACAGTATAACCACTATCACAAAATTGACTTATGCTAAGTAGGTTATACTTTGAGCCTTCAATGTATAAAACATTATGAATAGTGGGTACAGATGCATTACCTATCTTACCTATATCTTTTATTTTTCCTTAGCTGCTTCCAAAAGATATAGATCCTTCATGGGGTTGGAGGTCTAGGAACATAGACCTTTCTCCCGTCATGTGTCGTGAGCAACCACTGTCCAAGTACCAGCTTAAATCCTTTCTTCTTCTCACCAAGGATATCTGCAATAGAAATGATTTATGACTTTGGTACCCATATTTTCTTGGGTCATTTCTTGTTAGTCCCAATAACCCTTGTCTGTCCCTTTCGTCTATTTGGAGGTTTTACTCATGTTCCATTAACATGAAAGGTGGACTTAATCTTGGTCTAAGATGTCTTAGGACCAAGATCAAAGCTAAGACCACTCTTGTCTAATGGAAGTCTTCAATGCCTTAACAACATATTCATCTTAGAAGAACCTTCCACAAACTTAGTTAAGTCCTTCCTGATGAATTGAATATTTTCAGCTTCCAATGTTGAGATTTTAAGAGGAATCAAACTAGAGATCTTGTCTTTTAGACTTTGGAGTTTTACTTTAGACTCGAACATATTTTTCTTAAGCTCGAGATTTTTTTTCAATGAAGTTTAGTTTTTCTTTAAGCTTCTTATACTCAAGAGAAATCATGTGGAAGTTGACAAGTAGAGCCTCATAAGACATCTTTTCCTCATCGGAGTCAGAAGAACCAGAGTTAGGTTCAAAATTTACCTCTTCATTTGTCTCAACGTCTACCATCAGATAGATGTTTGCATTCTCGTCGTCTGAGTTATTATTACTACTACTATCTAGATCCTCCCAGGTGGCCATTAGGCTCTTCTTAGCCTTCTTTTTAGAAGACCACTTCCTCCTTTGTGAAGGGCAATCAACCTTCATTTGACCAAGCTTCTTACACTCATAACAAACAATTTCTTTGTTGTTAGTTTGACTGGGCTTTTTGAACCTTTCCTTTTTTCTATGGGAGTTTCTCAATCTTTATTTCTTCTTCTGCATATCCTTGAAATTTTTAGACATGAGAGAAATCTCATTGTTTGTAGATTTCTCGAAACTTTTGCTTAAGTTTTCAAGTTCAAACTCTTTTTTCTTGTTGGGCTTACCACCTTTCAAAGCAATTATTTTGTTTGCTTTGTTGTAGTCCTTATTGTTGAGGTGAACTTCATGAACTCACAGGGCTCCAAGAAGTTCATCTAAGGTGTAAGCCTTCAAGTCACAAGCTTCAAAGATAGTTGTGGCTTTGGGCTCCCAGATCTTGGGTAGGCTGTCCAAGATCTTCAGATTATTTTGATCTTTTGAAAACTTAGTTCCTAGGGATTTTAAACCATTGAGAATTGTTTAGAAGCATCCAAACATTTCATCAATGGTCTTGTTCTCCTTCATGGAGAACAACTCATAGTGATGGAGGAGGTCCATGGGCTAAGGGCCCAACTACTAGGGCTATGGCCAAGAAGATTCAAGAAGAGTGGGCCCATGCTCAACAAAAGCCCATCATACTTTTCAGTTGAGCTTTGACTCAAGCCCAAGTAGAATAGGAGTAGTATAGGTTTTGGCCTTTGGGCTTGTATTGCATTTTGGGCCTTGTATTTCAGCCACTTAGACTAGGATTTTC